TTTTCAAAAACATAATAAAGTACTCGAAAATAATTCATGGTTTATTGATAATTTATTTAAAAATCATTTTCCTTCATATTGGCGATGTTAATGAATACTCAGAAATATTTTGTTTGTTCAGCGTATCAATGTCAATGCAGTTACAATGTAAGATCTTACTAACAAAAAAGATGTAATATTAGCAGTAACAGTTATTTCATAACTCGTTGTTTTGAGACTAAATAGACAATGAGAACAACTTTTTAATTGAAAGAAATAATTAGTTATAAACCTTTCAAATTATAAGTCCAAAAATTTAACCAAATAAATCGTTAATACATTTTAAATGCAATTCATAATATAAGGAAGAATATAACGGGCCAAAAGAAAATTAAATTATTTGAAATATCTTGTAGATGATTCATTAAATCGTTTATAAGATAATATGGATACATTTAATTATAATCTAAATCCATTCAACCTCTAAGATTTATTTTATAGATAATAATTGTGTAATTAGTTATTATTGGTATTATAGTAAACCATTTCAATGATATTTAAATCTTAGTTGTTACTAAATCTATTTAGCAAATTTAATTGTTTATAAACGATTAAGTAAAGACGTTTAATTGTTTTAATCTTATCAAACTTGGTTACACATATCTTGCAGTTATCTAATTGATAGAATATACAATGAATAACAACAGACTAATTGAATTGTTCTTGAAAGATTTTTAAATTATAAAAATTTCCATAACTTGTCTGTTATTATATTGAAATTATTATTTTATTATGTATATTAGAGATTCTACAGGTCATTTTAAAATCAATAAATCCAAACTGTTTATATATAGTGCTATTAAATTTATTTAAATTATAAAATAAATATTAAATGTATGCTTATATAGCATCTCAGATTGCAAATTACATTATTATTATTATTACTTTATTTGTTTTAGATGGATTTTATTAAAAGCAATGCATGAATTTCCTACTTAAAAATAATTTAAGATATAGTACACAAAAGATCGAAGAAGATTAAGATCAAGGATGATGATACAACAAGAAGCTGCAGAAACGAGTTTAACTATAGGATTTTCATATAGTCTACATATGTAAATCACAGGTAATACTTTACAAAAGAAAAATAGGCCTTTTGACCTAAATATTTGAAAATCTGATTACTTTAAAAACCTGTGGTTATAAAAAATATTTTTTTTATAACCACAGCCTAAACATAGAATGTCATCCCTTTGTTAATAAATCAACACAGTTTTATATGAAGTAAGGTAACTTATTTAAGCTTATTTTAAAATTTAAATAATCTTAAATTTTATTATGAATAAGAATAGATATTTTTTGTTTTCTGAAACCGTGTTTTACTATTTATTGACTGTTGAACACAAGATTGTGTTATTAATTAAACGCTTGGCTTTTTTCCATCTTTATTTAACTGAATAAAGATGGAAAAAAGCCAAGCGTTTAATTAATAACACAATCTTGTGTTCAATAGTCAAAGAATAGAAATTTTTAATGTAGTTAACTGTTTGAAACGGATATAAGTCTATAAGTATTTAAAATATAAATTAGATTTAATTAAAAATTTTTAGAAGATTGATGTTTTACAAATTATATAACTTTCTCCCTCTCATTGACATAAAAACATTTAACCTAAATAAATGTTTAAAAGAACTGAAATAAAACGAAATAGAAAAAAGTTCAATTAGAAGTTTTAAATATTTAGGCCCATATAATTTTAGGCTATAATTTATAAAGTTTATGTGAATTCAGAAATATGTATTGCTATTTTAACATAGATTTCATAAACAAGTACGTTTATTAGAAAATGAAATAGTTGTTATATCAAAAGTCATTTAAATTATCAATATATATATTCTGTTAATTTGTGTTATTAGCTAAATGTTCCCTCTCTAATTAAATTCTTATTTACAAATTTTATTAAAAAATAAACTTATTCAATATTTTAAAGTTATATATTTTGCTTCCTGGATGATTTAGATGTCATATAGGCCTGTTATTACGAAAATAAAATGCTTAGCCTATTTTATAGTATAAATTTCAAACAATAACTTATTCATTCATTTATATTTATTCTATAAGGTAAGTTTTACTTTTTATACGTTTTATAAATTTAATTTTTAAAAGTTTTGTGTTTAAAACAGTCTTGAAAATATAAAGCAAAAATTAGCTGTAATCAAATTATCTTCAGAAAAAAAAATTAATAAAAAATTTACCGTAAAAAAATTCATTTTAATTTATAACTTTTTATATACTTTTTTAATAAAGAATGATATAAATAGCTTAATTATAATAAACAGCTGTTTAAAATTAATTCTGATTGGTTTATTTAGAAAGGACATATAGGCCTACAATATACCCTTAAATCTGTTTTCTTTGAACTCTAAAATAAATTCTCTCTTCATCGCTTGAATGATTTGTCTTTTCATCATTAGTATACAAAAGAGAGAAGAAAAGATTAAAAAATAACAATGGCAATGACAAAAGGCATTGAAATATCATTAATTGGCAAAGATGTTATTAATGTTATCATACAGTTGAGAAAACAAAGAACTAAAAAGAAGTATCAAGCAGAATATTAAGATTTTAATAAATAAAAAAAAAAACATTAATTAAACACTTTAATAAGTTGCTTTTAATAGACTTGAATATCTATGGAATATCCAAGTTATTCAATACATGTATAAATTATTAAGAATCTTTATTAAAATCTTTTAAAACTTCTAGCTTATAAAAACAGAATTGGTTAGTTTCATTAGCAGAAAGTGAATGTATCTGAAGAAATATTTAAGTAATTTGAATTTGCGACTCATTAAAGAAATACTTCTAAAAAGTTAATCTAATAATCCTCGAAGAAAACTAAGTTACTATTCTCTAAAGATTATTGGATTTACTTTAAAAAAAAACTTAATTATTTTTTTCCCTCAATGAGTTTAATTTTGTATATGGAGGACTCAGGCAATGTTCTATACGTGCCGTGGGATTGCTCAGAAAGGTTCGATTAATCTCCCTAAGGTCATTGAGAGAAAGTTAGACTAAAGTCGCTAGTCGCCTAGTTGGATTAGAGATCTCACTGATGGCTGTGGAGATTGCTGATTTGAAGCTCCAGAGGATACTGAATCGCCAAGCTAACTTTCATAATTGAAAGACAACCTTAGTTTCTCCGCGAATTAGGTTATAGTGATGTTTCTAGATTACAAACACAAACGATTATCTTTTAAAAATTTAAGATATCCTTAACCTAAGTGGATAATTTAAGATATAGATCAAAGGGGGAAAAATACAGTCTTATAAAATGCAATGGTAACAAGAAAAGTAATAAACTTAGATTTTTTTTCGTTCGTTAAAAGATTTAAACAATTAATAAAACAGTCCAATACTTGTAAATATAAATAAAAAAATTATTTTTCTGTTTAACTTCATAAAATTTAAATTATATAGCAATTCCTATTTTAAATTTTAATCAAAAATATAAATAAAATTTGTTTCATCTTCGCTCAAGTACATTTAATTCAAAGAAATTAAATTAATTTGCATTTATAATAATTACATTAAATTCGTTAATTATATCATATTAAATGAATTTAATTTAATAACAATAACTTAAATATTTATCAGCAGATATTTAGGTAATTAATAGCCTATATGCGGTTCTCATTATTTAAAACGAAATTTTCTTTTCTTTTTTCGGTTAAACCGAAATTTATAATTCTTCATCCAAACTATTTTAAAATTAATAGTAGCCTAATTCAATATAAAATATCGGCAATAGAGAAAACATATTGTAAAAATCGGAATTGGTTACGAACTGTAAACGATTTCATATCATGAAGTATATAGATAAGCATAGCTGCTAAATATGATCATAATGCGCAATATTCAGTTTATGACATTGTTATCTCATTCATTATCTTTTCTCTAAGCCTATTCAGATATCGAGAACAGTAATTAAATTGATGTTGGCAAGACTAAATATGCTACGGAATTTCACCCTAATGACATTTTCTATTAAAAACGATATAAACAGTAGATACTTTTTCTGATAAGAGGATGCTGATTAAAATAAATATGACAAAAAAAAAAAAAAAATTGATAGTGCACTAAAATAATTTAATTCATGTTTTTACAATATGTTCGAAACCTTATAGCAAATTTAAATCTTAAAAAATAAATGTATATATATATAGCCTATATATATTAAGAATATATGAAAAATCACATCCTGTAGGTATGTGTAGGCCTACTATACACATTGGTAGACTGAGTTATGAGAAACATTTTAAAATGGGTTACATTAATAACAGTTTGCAAATAGAATATTATATTTTACTATTTCGTAAAAGAATCAAATCTAATTGTGTCAAATCGATGAAGATTATATATGTTTAATTATAAATTTAATTTTAGTTAATTTCTTCAACATAAAATACTTTCAGAACCATTTTATTGTTAAATTATACAAACGAGTTTTGCTATCAAAACTGGTCTACAATACGTAGGAGGGGGAAAAAAAGACAGCTTTCGACTTCTTGATAGTCTCTCTGACATTAGCATAAGCGTGCCCTTTTCCTATATTATGATGTTAAATAAATATTTGTCGACCTTCCGGACAAATTAGCTATTTGGAATACTACAAGGTGACCGTTGAGATAAAGGGACAACAAATAGGAACAATAAGAAAACGTTTGGAAGCTATAAAGAAGCAACATACAATATCTATTGGCAAGCAAACTCTTAGAGTATCTACTTGGTAGCAATCTGCATGCAGGATAGTTCGCAGATCAGGTGTTAGAGACGATGTTATACGAAATACATTCCCTTTTTAGACGATTAGAATGGGTGAGGGCATTCGACTTCTTCCTAGATACAACAGTTGTAAACACGAGCTGCATTGAAAATGGTAGAACAAAGCTCTTCAGAATATTCTGTTTGAAATATTGTCTTTGAAGGATTTTGGATAAAATTTGAATAANTGTTTTTTTTTGCAATGGACGGGCTTGTTACACCCCGTCGTGGATACTTTTTATTACGTATATCTGTATACAACAAATTAATGAAGAGGAATGTATGGGGAACAAATAACTTCTTTTATATCAAATATAGAAGGTAAATGTAGAGTAAAAAGCTATTTTTTTCTAATAATATCAATAGATTTGTAAAAGATGTTAAGAAAATTTAATATTAGATTTAAAGTCTAAAAACTGGAAGGGGTGGGAAATGGTTGACAATTTTCGAAGTTGATGAATATGAAAAGATGCGAAATAATATAATTCAATTAATCTCAATTACATAATCGAAACATAAACTATTTATCCAAATGTTTTTACTTTATTTCTTAAAAAATAAATCATGTCCAGCTATTGAACAAACTTAGAAAAAGCTCAATTATTATTTTCCCAAATTAACAATTGTTGATATATATATTTCTATAATTTTTTTTAGATTTTTATGATATATTCACATATTCATATTTCACAATCTATATTTCTTTGGGTTGAATGAAGACATGACGACTAAAAGCCTCCCAAGAATTATTTTCACATCGATTATATTCTATTTCATCTCTGTTTCAAATTTCATATATTGCTCCACAAAAAGGTAATTGGGAATTTGGCTAGTATTTTTTTTTTTATAACACATGAATCCATTGTCAACAGAAGTGACAATGTACTACACTTAGAAGTATACAACTATGAACATCTACAAGACAACAAACAGCGTACTAATTAAGTACATCTAAACACGACAAATTCTAAAAGCACTCACAAAGACCCTTCGTTTATTTTAAAATAAATCAATAGGACACAGCTACGAAGAAAAAAAAATAACAATTTCTCATGATAAAGATCCCCACAATGCTAACGCTTAATATAAAAAACTCTTAAAGAACTAATCTATCAATAAAAGTAAAAATATATCCTAATCACTGTTCTTAAAAGGGAACTACCGAAATCACTAATACTTTGTCATTTCTATGGTGGGCTGAAAAGTGGAAGCAACAATGTCCATAATAAAAGAATGGACTACGAATTAATTAACACACAAAATAACTGGCATAACTTTTTAACGGAAACAATATTGTAACAACAATAATTGAAGAATAAAACCCGCATAATGTACGTATATTGTAAGTGATCTAGTCTGGCTGCCAAAAACGACTGCTAGACGATCTCAACATGATAAGTTCTCGAACATTGGTTCCATTTGGCTTCTTCATATTATTTCACCGTCGAAAATCTGACTTCTACAATGCAGAAGAAAGGAGGTGATCCTTTCACGTCTGGATTCATGACTTAGACATTTTTTGTGATAAATGATTGATAAGAGTTACACACAAAAAGGAGCTCAAAAAAGTATAATTTCACCAATAATCTCATGAATAAGTCAATGATTTTATCATTTGACCATCAGAAATTCTTTTGTTTAAATTAATTTTAACGAATATTTTCAGAATATTTCTATTTCCAAGACTCGTGTTGTTCTATTTTTTAGAAAATATTCAAAAAATGATTACAAATTTAAATTTGCATCTCTATTATTTTCAGTGTATATAATGAATTAATTTTCTTATTAAAAACGGTTTTTAAAACAGTATAAGACATTTCAATCTGGAAGACTAAAATTATCATTTCTGGAATAGAAAACGATTAATATCGATTGAATTCAATAACTTTTCGAGCTATCTTTATAATATATCGGTACTAAAATGTAACTTGTCATATTAAAATAATGATTTATTGGTCAAATGATCATCATCATTGACAATTGATATACACATGAGTATATTGATAATAATGTTATGGGTTGATGTAGAATTGTAGATGATATAATTACCAGAACGTGAATGTACTATCTCCATCACCTTACTTCCAGCGGACAGATTGTCCACTAACATAAAAACAAAGAGAGACATTAACACCTTACGTTTTGACGGCTGTACTACTGGAATTAGTAGCTGATGATCCTGTGCTATTGGAACCTGCAGATGCCTGATTGCTACTGCTCGATGATTTCGGTTGTTTCTGCTGTTGTGCTGCTACTTTAGCTGCCTGTGCCTGTCTTTCTTGTTCATTTAGCTCTTTGATAGCTTGAATCTCTTTCTTCAGTTTCATCCTTCGATTCTGAAACCATATCTTGATCTGTCTTTCTGTTAGACATAGGGCGTGTGCCATTTCGATTCTTCTTCTCCGTGTCAGATAATGGTTGGTATGAAACTCTTTCTCTAGCTCCAAGGTTTGGTAACGTGTGTAGGTTTGGCGACCTCGTCTTCGCAAACCGTTGGCACCTGAAATTAAAGCCAAACTATTAGAAATGCAATACTTTCTGTAGAATAAATCGGTTCATATTTCAGAAACAAACAGTAACCTTAGCAGACAACAGTTTGATACATTGTATTCTACATTTGTTGCTGTTCAACTTCTCTTTTTATATTATATATGCATAAGCTTACACACAAAAAATATGAAAATTTGAAGACACAGTATATACATACATGCTTTTAAATTTATAAAAGTATATTATCTGTGTTGTTAGTGTACAAATAATTAATTTCAAATTAGATTTAAATTAGAATGTTATGCCGTTACGCACTTTACATATATTCTGATATATATAAATATCTTAATAACACTTATTATTAATTTCCTTCATATAATAATTTGATATTTTAAACATTTTTTTTTCGTAGTGAACATGTAAGCCTATATAATTATATTTTAAACATTACAACTTATATAACCTATTTAAAGATGTCGAATATTAAAAATATAGATAATAAGCTATATAAAAACTTTTTGTGATAATAAACGAAATAAGCTACATATTGTTCATGTAGATAATATCATGTATCAGATGCTATAAATTTAAAAAAAAGCAATAAAAAGCACTTAACAGGTTGTTTAGTTTTATCTCAAACAATCTTATTGCTTAGCTGTAGGCCTAACAAACTTGAAGATTAGTTTTTTTTATTACATTTCGACAAGTATAAAATTTCTCATTGAAGTTTACAATTTGTCAAAAAACTACAAATAAGAATTCAGAGAATAACATTATTCAATTTCACGGAAAATCTGAAAAAATAATAAAAATCTATCAAATTGCGTAATATCATTGTTTACTAAAAATCTTTATCGTCCGTTCTTTTTATAATAAACTAGAAATATTTAAAAAAACACATACACAATTAGAAATTATGGATTTTTCTCAATTTATTCTATTAATTTCATAGAGTAGAAAAGTTAAACTCAATCCTAAAACTTCTAAAAACAGTGTAATATATTAAATCATATAATAGAATGTACACATCTACTTTAAATAAATCAATATACGCCTTACGTGAAAACAAACAATTATAACTTGCTACAAAAATTATTTTATAACAGATAAAAGCTGCAATATTGATTATATACTTATCTCTATTGTTTGCTGTCTTCAATAATTCACATATATGAAACTATTCCGAGTTTCAGATCAATTAAAGTTTCATAATAAATCTTTCATTGACTGTATTTATTTTAAAAAATTTAGGATTTTTCTTTATAGTTAACATATTTATGATAGTATCAAGTTATTAAGATACAATTTGGTAATATTAACTTAATATTTTTGAGGTTATTAGCTATTTTAAGTGTAGATCTATTAATGTTTTCGAAAAAAATATTTAACTTTAAATTCAAAATAAGCTCAAAAGGTTGTTAACAAATTAGTTTTTAGTTTTTCAGCTTTTTAAATTAATAAATGAAATTCTTTTATTGTTTAATTTTTTCATTATGAAAGAAAATTTAAGCATACAATTTAAATTAATTAAATTATTATCATCATTATTAAATTTACTCATATTGTAACAATTTTAATTTATATTACTCTAAAGAAGGTCTCATTTATAGAACAATCTGAACCCTACTGGAAGAATAGGTTATATCTTCTATAGCTTATGCCACGATTATATTTAAAATATATAAATTATAAACTTACTCATCTATTTAAATTTATATATTTGAAACTGTTTTATATTATTAATATTAATTTATTTTTTATTTTCAGATAATATTACAACAAACGTAATAGAAGTATCGTAAGCTAAGGTAAGATCTCTATTTCTAAAATGTAAAATATTTTATTATAATATTACAAAGAAAAAAAATAGAATTATGACAGTTTTTATTTTAATAATAAATATTGATTTATTTTAAAACCGTATTTCAATAAAAAATAAATTGAATAAGACGAAAAACTCGACAAGTTTTTTCCTCCATCAAAATCCGCACAATTTCAAAAATGTCGTTGGCCGATTTGGAGAGTAAAAACGGAAATTTCCTATCTTTTTTTATCCTTACATCTCGTTTCCGTCCGGAAGTGGAAAACTTAGATGCCACACCCGTAGGGTATCGAATTCAATATGGCGACTGCTTTCCTCACTGCATCTCTCCGCTTCGCACAGAAAGTATAGACGAAATATGTTTTGACTAAGAAAGACTACTCACCATCAATGTCTGACGTAGTAATTTTGTCCAGATTTGACTTCTGTTTCTTACGAACTTCTTGTATGTTAGATCTGACAGATAATACGCTTGATATCGCTTTGAACAACAGTCTGATCCCTACTGCCTGACGGCTTGGTTGGAACCTTTCAGACCCATGCGATATCAAACATGGCCGTCCCACCCGGCGCCCGTCCGGTCGTAAACTACGTGGACGTAATCGTCAGCTATAACAGTGTCACGTCTCCGCTATTAGTTTGAAGCAGTAAAAATTGTCCGGCTAGTTCATAAGCAGCACCATTTGCCTAGGCCTAATACACATTAATTGTTTAGCATAGCTTGGATTTGCATGCTTTGTATATAATTATACTTATACTAAGTAGCGGGAAATTTTATCAGATTTAATTTATTAACTTCTAAAAATAGGTTTTTCAAATAACTAATTAATATTAAACTGATGTAACTTTATGCATGCATTTTACTTTATCTTAAAGCAATTTTCCCCCCCTTAATGTTTGAATATACAAAAAATGAGAGGAAGCATATACATGTATTTATATTTTATCTGATAATATATTTTACACGATAATTAAGGCTTTTTAATGAACTGGTATAAGTTGTTATAATTATTTATTTACTTCAACTAAATTTTAATTTCTTTTTATATATATGAAGTTAACATTAGATCTGTATAAATTTAAATTTTATCGCTAAATTGACAAGTGTTTTTAAAATAAAATTTAAAATAAAAGCATAATTTATGTTGCTAATTTACTATATCTAGCCTTGATCAGAATTTCTAATTAATCAACAAAACAATAAAAATAATAAACAATAAATTAACAACGATATCAGGTTATTTTATATATCATAAAATCATATTGAATTATTATCTTGAATATTTATCAACGGCATATTTTAATTTAAAATATAATAAAAGACTGCATATGAAATATTACTTTATTATTTTTATTCAGTTGAAGGTTTATTCTATTTTTTTTTAATTATTAATTGCTGAATTTTTTTATCGATAACGTGAACAAAATTTTTATTTCTAACTACAATTTTTTGAATTTATTATTAAATAATAAAAATACTCAGTTATTCGATCCTAAAAGGAATCCTAGAGAATCCTATAAATTTAATTTTAAACCCGAAAAATATCCATTTATCGAAATAACCTATCCTACCTCCAAAACTTTCAGGACTGTAATTTTTATATAGGCCTAGGAATTGCTGTATTTGTTGACGCTGGTTTACTGAAAAGAATTTTGAGTTTATAAATCTATTAATTTCTATATAAATATACACTTATATCCAAAAAAAAAAATTCTAGTTTACTCTATAATTTATCTAAATTTAGACTTACAGTAAGTTTAAATTCCGGAATTTAAGATAGGAATAACGTGAAGAATAAAACACAATTATAAGCAATTGTTGGATTTTCTATAAATAATATTTTTAATGATAGATAAAATACAATAGAAAATTAATTGTGAACATTTTATTAACGAGTTTTTTGTTATTAAAGCTCATATTTTATAATGAAAGTTTAAATTTACATTATTTAATAAGTTGAAATCTTTTGATATCAATTAAAATTATATTTGGAGTTAACTAGATTATTGTATATTTTTATTGGCATTTGAAATATGCTTTATGAATACCAAACTTAAATGTAAAGTTAGAATTTGTCACACAAGGCTTTAATTAAAGAATCTAAACCTAAGTTTTATATCATTTCTACATTAAGTTTCGGGGTTTAATATTTAAAAGTTACGCAATAAATAATTGAAAAGTTTTATATATTAAATTCTGTTTGCATATTTAAGAAGTAATTTTTTAACAATTGATTTACTTTTTTCGTTTTAGAACGCTGCAAATATCATCACAGCTATTCTTTGTCGACAAACCTCTTCTCATTGCGTATCCAATCCATGAAGAGAATGTGCACTGTAAGCAGAGATGGTAGCAGCTGTCGAGAATCGCACGAAGCCCTCAATCGATCGGAGCATACGAGCAGCAAGATAGGACATACCAGTAATTGCATTACTTCAACTAGGGATGTAACTTATGGTATCCGATCGCTTCTGGAAAAGAGTGGACATTAAAACTTACGAGCTCGGCTGCTAACGTTGTTGGATTCTTATTATATAAAGACAACGAAAAACTTTGAAGATAGGGGGAAAAGCTAAGCTCGCTTAGGGTCTATTATTTTCTCTTACGTTTCTTCATCTAGCCACAGTTTTTATCAGATTTTTATCAAATATCAAGTGTCTCTAATTAAAAAATAAACATCTACATAAATTTATACAGATTTCTTGATATTTTATAACAATTTTTTATACTTTCTTCTCATACTTTTATTATTTTAGTCACTTAGTATTGATATGCTATGTTATTCATGAAATATATATTATCACATTTAGGCCTAATATTATATAGCAAATAATATTTACTTTGTAGAAGATTATAAGTGGTATTGAAACACAGTAGCCTTTTATATTTAAACCTAGAATATTAATTAATATTTCTTCATGTTTTAATAAAAAGACGTAATTTTACGAACTTCTTATGTGTTGATAACATAAAATTTTCTGTTAGAAAGTAATAAAATTAAAGATTTTCCTTAATAGCTCGAATAATAATAAACTTAATAAAGTTTCATTTAGGCTATGTGAAAATTTATTGCGTTAAATTCCTATTATTAAAGTCAAATGTTTTAGAATCTATAACTTCATTTAACAATTTATATTTTATATAATATTTTTTTAAAACTTAAAAACTCTATAAACCAACAAAAATAAATTACAAATTAGAGCCAAATTTTAAAACGATGCGATGAATAAAACATAACAACATAAAGTTATTTGGAAGGCTTTATCAGTCATATTAAATCGCAGGTGCAACTTATGTAAGTATTACAAACATTAGATGCTATGTAATCTATGAGAGGGTGATAAAATAACGTGTATACAAGATGATAAAACGTGTAAACATTATCATTATTGAATTAATCATTCATAAATAAGCGGGAGCTTATAACACTTATCGTTATATTTTCAAAAAATTGTGATAAATAAATTTGACAATTTTAGAGAGACGTTTTATATATAATTTTAATATATTCCAATGAAAAAATTTCTCCTATTAAAAGGAGTTTATCTATACTGTACATGACAGACATTATTGATTATTATATCTCGTAAAATTAGACTCCTACAGGCTACACAGAGTTAGAATTTTAAAGTAAAATGTCATTCATAAAAATAAGAAAAATTTGTGTACATTTGTAATTTTAAGTACTAAATACTCACAATAGATCTAACAGACGTTTCTATTAAGTAAATCAAATTAAAAGTATTCCAGATATAACTTTATTTATGTTATTTACTCGTATTACAATAAAGTTAAATCTTTGAATAACGGCCACTGACGGAAATATAAGTGGTCGTTGCTCGAAGGTGCCATTGTTTGCAGGTTATTTTGCATGCAATTTTTTTCAAAACTATTTCCTTTAAAAAAATGGCCGCTGTTCAGAGATGTCCGTTGTTAGGGGTTCGACTTTATTCAGTTATTAAAAATGAAATAGAAAAGTAATAATATTTCAAATCTAGATTTTATTTTTCAGAAATAGAAATTATAGAACAAAAATTTTCTAATTTTATCTAAAAATAGATAATGACTATTTTAGAATAATAATAAAAAGCAAGCTCCATTAAAANCCAGATATTTACTGCATGCAACAACATATTTATTAAGATTTAACATTTTACTCAACTTTGCCATGTTTATAACTTTAACAGAAAATAAATAAAGATAAGATTAGATATCATATGGTACTACTAAAAAATACATTACTTAATTAAATTATCAATAAGCTTATAATTAATTAAATAATTTAGTTAAATAATTAACATTTGAGATAAATATATTTATACATTACCTTAAGTACTGAATTATAAGCTAATTATATCTACAGATGTTTTACTATTTTATAAAACATGTATTTATAATAACGCAATTAAAATTTCAGATATAAATCTAATTAAATAATCTAGTTAATGTATTTATAGGCTATATTATAGGCTAGATTTTAGATATACGAAATAACGTTAATTAATTGCAAATAAATTCTGAAGAATGTAAAATTTTTGTATTCTTGAAGGTTAGTCTCATTATCAATTGTTTTAATATTTAAATCTTTTATTAATACAGTCAAGCTTACTCTATACTTAATATATAATATAAACAACATTATAAGTTTCTTTAAAAGTAAAATATCCAATTTTACTGTTCATAAGAGTATTACTTCAAACTTGGATAACATAACATACACAATTAGGTTTACACTTATATATAGGCCTATATATATATTATTAATATAATATAGACCGAAACTATGTAAACCTAAAATTTCTAATTCTAATAATTACTAATAAAAATAAGCAAAATAATCGAGAATATAATTTTGAATAAAACTTAATTTAATTTGAGCAAACTTAATGCAATGAAGAATTTGAAAGAATTTAAGGTTTGATTAAAACTTTAATATTCTGTAGAATTAAAATTAAAAAGTTTATTTCTCTTGTTAAAAGATGCAAGTAAAAAGTCGAAGATAGTAACCAATGATAGCTATTCGATTAAATATTGAATGAATATATGTTACCTACAGAATCAATTTGAAATTGGAAATAACTTTCGACGATAACTTGTAGGAAAATAATTTAGTATACTTAATAATTCTTTAAATATAAGATATAAATATGTAATTTTCGGAAAATGATTAACATTCTATCTTTCTATGATAAGAAATTTTAGAAATAATTAAAGTGCTATATGCATAGGCCTACGTATTGTCTCTAGAAGTAGGTCTAAATGCACTCTATGACTAGACAATGCTTTTCATACATATACATATATAGTCTATATATTCGTTAACTTATAGTCAATAAATTATTGAAAAGTTCTATTTGTGTAGAATAAATTAAAAAATTCAATTTTATTTTAGCTTTTCTGAATTTTTTGGAGCACAAATCTACTTATAATAAAATTAAATTTTAAGTTTATACTTTATATTCTCAAGTTTATGATAAAATGTATTTTATTCTATACAAATGTATTTCATATTGAATCATATTTTAACCAATTGTTTTATTAATAAAACTTCTAAATTTGCATATATCAATAAATATTTTTTAAATTTAAGCTAAAAATAAATTTAAAATAATCATTATGTTTAAACAGAAACCAATAGGATGTAATATTCATAGCTGTATTTGAACCAGTAGACTTTATATTATGTTTTTGACAGAAACAATGGTGTATGATCATCTCGGTACGAACCATATCGTGTCTTACAGGTTAGTCAATCATACCTTATCTCCTCTGTTTGTTTATGATGTCGAGGAACTACAATGGTTGTGGCGGGTTGATTTTTATTACACCCTATACGGCACGACCTGATCTGTTCTTAAGCACTATAGGCATCTCGAGAATTTTTATGACATCCTATAAACATTGCATTAAAACCTTTACGAGTATATGAGACAAGGGGAAAACGGTGCCGAGAGCAAATTCGAGCTCAACAGGTGACTATTAAACTTTAAATAGTATCAATGACATCTCAATTTTAAGAAAATTGTTAATTATACAAATTCAATTTCTATATATTTCGAATATTTTTGTAATTTTAAACGATGAATAAGCTATCAATCTTCCTGAAAATAATCTATTGCATATTCTTCTAGTTATTAAGACAATTATTTAATTTTTTTAGTAATTAGATTATTTAATAATTTCCCAATGATTTAAATTGAAAAAATAATATAATTTTTAGAGTTTCTATTTAAAAAAACAGTAATTTATAACAAACAGATAGTTATAACATTGCTTTTTTTTTAAACTTTGCAGAAAATTTATTTGACAACAATGATCGAAAATAGATCACATTTCAGATATTTATAAGAAATTAATTAATACTTTTATAATAATTCTGTTTTTAAATTTAATAATAAAATTAATTGGCCTATTAGAAACTGTCGTAAAAATTAATTGGTTTTTCACTTTGCTTTTTATTTTAAATAAATAAATTTTAGTAATGACTACATAAACAACAGGTAAGAATTATTGAAGGTCTTTCTATTATTCAAAGCCATGATTACAGTAAGCATGTCCACTCTTAAATCACTGGAAGTCATTTACTGTTTAATGAAAGCTCTTGCCCACAACCAGCAAAAACTACTCCCCAAAACTTTTC